TAGCTGAAGTTTTGTTTGAGAGCTATTCCTTCGTAGTCTGTTTATCTAGAATTATCCATCATCGTTCATTGCGGTGAAAGAAAGCGAAAAAATGATTGAGATAGATGTCTGTAAAATGTAGAGATTCCGATTATTTATTTGCCTGATGCAGTTACCACGAAGAAATCATAACATAGAATAAAATCTTCAGAATTCGCAGTCTTTTTTGATAGTAGCATTGCATTGTACTGAGTTTTCTGTTTGCAGATGGATGAGAATTAAATCGATTACTTCATATTTATAACCATCGGTCATTTATGTAGATGCAGTTAAGCGATGATTTGCAATTAAGTGATGACTTATTAATCTATAACCTACAATAATCAATGTAGTGGAATCATTAAGCACAATTTTAGACTTAAATTCACTCAACAAAATTGCAAACTATGCTCACATAAAGTATAATTAATATTCAACAGTGAGATAATAGTAAACGGGGTAGTTTTCTGAAAATTCTATGGATTCAACGGAAGACTGCGCGAACCCGCGTTGATTTAAAGAATTTTCGTACTCCTCAAGCAGCAATACAAACTTTAAAATGTACAACTGCGACAAATTTCGTATTGTCCTCCCTGACAGCCTTTGACCACAAATTTGTCAGATCATATTGAGTAATTGATACGGAAATCATCTGCCCAATTATGCAAATTCAGACTGTCAACTAAATGGTGTTTGATAACGTCGCATGTGGGGCGTGCCATTGATTAATAAAACGAGTCGTTAATGGTCAGACATGCAAATGACTAACGTCGAGTTATATGCATTCAACGAGATGAGCGCAGCACTGAACTTTGACAACGACTACCTGCACCCAATCAGCATACGTCAAAACGGTTGACCAGGAAGGGTCCCTTTACTGAAAAGGACACTTATTTGTTTGAGAAAGATTTATAGTCCAGGATTTGCAAAGTTTAATTTCTTTCCGTTCTTGCTGTTATGATTTAGATATCTTCCTGAACATTGTCTCTTAAATAGCGAAAGTTTTATGCAGACCCTTTTTATGAGTTCAGAATTGTGAAATTTTGTCATTTGAAGCATCTTGTAGGAACCCTTCTCATTAGTCTAATAGACATTTTTGATTGTGCAAACAAGGAAGTTGTGTTCTTGGTTGGTGGATGAAGCAAATATAGTTTCATGATCTTCCTGCTACCGTCTATTGCAGTTTATGGAAGATACGAGTTACAAGCTTTGAATTTGATTTTTAGATGTCTCCTAAAGAACAAGAGAAGGAATACTATAAAAAACTGAAAAATAATGGTAGGACAAAACAGATAACATGTGCGAGGGTATAAAGGTAGATTCCATATATCTCACGCGTTTGATTTGACTACGTTTTCCACAGTTTCACAGTAAGATCAAGTTTCAATGAAAATTTGAACACTGATTTCTTTTTGCATAAAGGATCGTGTTATCAGTGTTGTGTCTTTGCTTTGTAACCTTTGACCAGCTGTCACCTAATTCAGGGCGTACTGCGGATGTTTAAATTAAAATGTTTGCGCTCTTAAACACGTTGCCCTAGCTACAGTTGAGTCTAAGAGGATAAATCTGAATTTCTCGGTTGTCCTGCATCAGTTTGTGATGGGTTCATTCATCCATTTTAACTCTCAAGGTTGGTTTCTAGCTGCGGGTCACCACTTGTAGAATTTTTTGCGGATTTGCCAATTAGCTGTGCTATCTCTTGCATTGCAAGGCGCGTCGAGACCAGATATCCGATAAATTCGAGTTATTTAGCGCTCGATTTTCTCTTTAATCGCCGTCCTTGTGATTTTATCAAGACGGTGTGAATTGTGGGTCTCTTCTCTGGCACCCCTCCAAAAGCTGTCCACAATATGTATTTGAATAATTTTTGAAAGTTTCAAACGAATCACTGCTGATATACTGTTGATAAATTTATTTAAATTCACATTGATGCAGTTTTTATGTGCGTATAGATTTTGATGTTTGCATCATTAGTCCATATCGTTGTATGATATTCAAAATTAACGCAACGTCGGATTTTCAAATGGTGCCCTAAAGCAAATATCACACGAACAACGACTGTTGTCAATAGCGTTTTATGACCGGTTTATGTCACTGAACATTACTTCATCAAAATTTGATTCTGGAGTGTATAAAGTTTTTGCCGGTTACAGAGTCTGATAATCAATTCATACATTCATAATTTATACAGCCTAATTGGGGTTCATGCAGCCTAATTCATTTAATGCATATATTTTATCTGTTAAAGATGATTATGTTTTGCTCCTTTTTCCAGTGTCATAATTGCAGGCTTAAGTGGTGCTGGCAAAACAACAATCTCGTTTGCCCTCGAATACATTTTGAATACTCTTGGCCTGCCGTCCTATGGATTAGACGGAGACAATATGCGTCATGGCGTGTGCAACAACTTGGGATTTTCCTCTGAAGACAGAGTGGAGAACATCAGGCGCGTTGCTGAGGTGGCAAAGCTGTTTGCTGATGCTGGCATGATTTCGCTGGCGTCGTTTATCAGTCCATTTTCAAAGGTCGTTTGATCCGCTGTAGCGTGTATGACTTATAAAGTTTTCATTGATTCAGGACCGGGAACATGCCAGGAAAATCCACGAGGCTGACGGACTTCCGTTCATTGAGTGTCATGTTGATACTCCATTAGAGATCTGTGAAAGCCGAGATCCAAAGGGCCTTTATAGCATGGCTCGTTCAGGTCGGATTTCAGAGTTCACTGGAATCAACTCGGTCTATGAAATCCCTAAAAGACCAGAACTGACATTGCATGCCGGCGTGAACACGGTATCGCAGTGCGTTTACCAGGTTCTGCAGTACCTTGTAGCAAAGGTACTCTTGTTCTATTATGTTGTAAATTATCTGAGTATGGTTTCCTTAGAAAGTAGTGCCACAAGAAGCAATTAATGAACTTCGTGGCCGAGTCAAGCCATTATTCGTCGCTGAACCGGAGCGGGCGTCTCTTCTTTCGACCATTCATGATTTTCCACATGTATCATTAACAAAGGTGAGCAGCGAGGTTTCATTAGATTCACTGATGCAGATAGTCTTCACTGCCCACACTCGTAGTCAGATATGCGTTCCTTAGGTCCACTGTGGACGATTAGACCGTTGATCCCCTGGTTTAAGTGCATGACATGAAAGATACTAGTAATAACCGGTAATAGCGTTACAAAACATGCTGTTGTAGGCATGATGAAAAAGTACATTTAATAATTAACAATCCACCGTGTCGCTGATTAAGCTAGACCTTTCAACAACACTGCATGATGCTAATTTATGACAGTTTCGGAAATCTGCTGGGAAATCGGAATGATTCATTGCTTTGTCCACCGTCAGCCCTTCATTGAACGTGAAAAACTGTGGAAAGGCGTCTGCTTGGGTGTGATCATCACAATGAGTCACCTGTAGGAACATAACGTTTGTGATGTACTCCGTTGTATGCGAAGTTGTGTAAAATTTGCCATAATACACCGGCTACTGTTTCATGCCCAGGAATAGTTCCTCCTCGAAAGCAGATCTGCTTCTACCTTGTTTCTACAGGTTATATGCTGATCTCTCGACCGACATCTGCTATGTTTTACCTCCCACGAGAAGATCGCGTGCTGGCGTTAATTGTTTCTTCTCCACATGTTCTAGCAGAAATAACCTTCTCAATTTCTTATTTTCTTAATCTCGACATCTGTCGAGGTCACTTCTGCCTGAAATAGGAGAGTCATATCTTACGTAATCCTGTCATTTAACTCTCATTATGGGGCGACGCTGATGCTTGCAATTCAGTCGGATTTTTGCTCCTTCCTTAGAACAACTGTCTCCATGCCGTACAGCAGCAGTGACCTGACAAAGTCAAGGTTTTGGCTTTCTGAACCCAAAAGTTTGGCTCCTCTCACAAGCACTGGATGCAGAATCAATCCTCCCAATTAATAAAGTCTGTAACCTTTGGGATTTCGGCGTTTCTTGCACTTACATGCTTAGACAAATTCTAATAGCCTTGTTTTCATAAATTTATTGGTACGGGTGCTGACCTCTGTTTCCATATGATCAGCGAGGTGTACCTTATTTTCTAAAAGCAGAATCAATATCATCAATATCATATGTGTAAAGCATAGTCTGTATTAACCTGTTTCTTTCCCATTCATTTAACGGAGTGGTACTTATTTATCAACTTTGGTAGGAAGAAAAGGGATTGACTCTGACGGAAGTTCGATCCCAGGATTTCTCGGTTTTGAATCCGATCCGATACTCTACCGACCGAGTAGGCGGTACCTGGTCTGAAGGCAACATATCATAAATTCTTTGTTAGCAGGAATTTGTTGTAAAGACTTGGATTGTCTGCAATAGAAATCGAATTCAGGACCTTCAGAGTTAGAATTCGAAACTGACGTCGTGTGGAACGTGCTACTGCATCATCATCCAGCTATTTCATTCTGTTTGTATGTTGCAATCGCAGGAAATGATTGATTCGAGATACCTTAATTAATCGACTTCCTCTATGGGTTCCCCCTCTGTTCCACTAGTAGAAATGGATCAGTAACAATTGGGGAAATATTTAAGAAAATTTTTCACTTTAGTTTCTTCTTGAACGGCATATGCTTTTTTTGTTGTCTTTACAGTTTAATGTTCTGAAATTAGTCTATTAAAAAGCGGCATGTTGGTCATCCTTTTTAATTTCTTTAGAAAAGTTTTAATAACGAGAAATTGCATTTTTTATCTTCCTTGTGGTTACGTTGATAAAACACCATTATATTCCTAGGCGAGCTTCGTTGGCCTTGGTAAAGAATTCTGTTTACTATGTAGGAACTGTTTCTACTGCTTTCTACCGGAACCAGTCGCAGCGAACTAAAAAGGTTCAACAAAATTAAAGTATTGTCGAACTGGTGTAAGGCTTGACTCAACTGCAATCCGCAGGCCACTTTTTTGTGCCACTTAAGTTTGTCACAAATGGAACAGGCGTAGGTCGTACGGCAATTAAAGGTATTTTTAGAGATGTGTTTACTTTCATTCTTTAATCGCAGCAACAGGAATGTTTGCGCTGTAAGGATTAGTATATTCCGGTATGAAGGGGCTACCACTTTGGACGATCGGATGATACAGATGGGGATGTACATTGGTGCTCAAGCATATTTTTCTTTGACGTGAATGGTGATGCGGATTTGTATGGTAGCGACCAGTAGTTTAGAACATCGTGAAACATTTGATTGTTTTTTGCCTTCTGGACGGCTTGTACGTTTAAATTGTGTCATTGACTTTACATAGTCCTGCTACGGTTTTCAGTATAATTCCCAGCTCATGAAATTGATATTGACCATTCATCATCATTCGCATAATCTACTCCGTTCAATTCTTAAAAGCCTCTCGTGACAAAATTGTAATAATTTTAGTCAGATTAAATCTATCATAAACATTATTTTCACTGTGAACAACACGGGCATCATCAAAACAGCGGCGGAAACACAGACCCCCTCAACATCACTGCTATTATGATTATCATCGATCGTAGATTTCAGTTGCACCATAAGTGTTTGTGACAAGGATGCCACAGCCACATATATCATATCACTGTACGTATGGCCATTATACGTATACGAACTAGTTGTGGTCGCAGATTGATAAATGGTGCATTAAAAGGTGTTCCAAGTATCCTCAGTCTTTAACTCTGACAACCCTATCCCGCCCTTAAAGGTGAAAACACTACATACTTCATAGAATGTCAGTTTGTTTGGGCTGTTGGAGTATCAGTAAGTGCTCAAATACAAACTTGCATATTGTGATCTTATTTATAAATGTTCTGTATATAAGACTCTTACTTGTACAATAATTTATTAAGATATAACTGCGAATAATGTTGATCGAATTTTAAGAAACTTGTGTCTTTGATCGTGGCATCTATCGCTTTATTCATTTTAAGTAAATATCCAACGTTAGTATGAAATGAGCTACAGACAAGGATTTTAGGCTGCGTATGCATGAACTATTCATTAAATTTGAATAGATAACGTCAGTGCCATATTTCTACTGAACTTTTCTTGGCATGAAACTTAGATGTCCAAGT